TTACGTGGAATTACGTTCCGAGACACGAGATAATGAGAAAAAACCAGTGTAAAAAAGTTAGAAAATTCCTGTTGTGATAGTAAAAAACATCAATTGAGGGCGAAAATTTCCCAAAATTAACTTTTTTACACTGGTTTTGCCTCAGTATTTTGAGTCTCGGAACGTAATTCCACGTAAAAGGCGTTTAGTCAAAAGTTACTAATTACTTATTAGAATATTGATAATGTTCTCGCAAATGTATAAGTAATTCATATATTTTTCATTTACATCAATATAAAATAGGATTTAACAACTTTCTTGGTCAGAATTTAACTTGTATCATTTTAGTGAATGCCGTAAAAATAATTTAAGCTTGTCTGAAGCTGCGAGAATGAATTATAAATAATTAATTGTACGTTGAAAAGTTGTACACATTTTGTGTTTAATAAATTTCTATATACAACTTTCTTGAGAAAAATGATAGAGAAAAATAATTTTGCGAGTTTTTAGCCCGATTTAGCCTAAATAATTGATTTGATAAAGACACGACGGGTATGCCTATCAAATAATTTTCCCTTTTTAGGTGCTGGCGTGGAGCTTTCCAATGAAGAGTCAATGGAATAAAAAATATATACACAAAAAATATCCAGCTGGGGGGCTCTCAGTGTGACTGTCACGTAGACACACACGTATATTCTATGGTGAATTATTAAGCGGGCCTTCGGGAAAGGAAATGCGTAACAATATAGGCGCTATAGCGAAATGTATGGTCACAGCAACGTTTTTGTGAACACGATCGGCTGGCTTTATTTCTTTATTGCTCTCGTTTCCTTGCGTGTTTCCTCGTCATTGTTACAAAAATATTCCCTTACATACGATTCTCGGACGTTTCTTTCCTACAGAGAAGAACAAAATGTTTTGAAAATCGGCCTAATCAGCTGACGAGTAAGTTTGTCACCACGAAATTCTTGAGTTGGTCGTCGCTGGTGCTGCTCGCGCGAAAATAGACCAAGGGCCTCGTTTCGCGACAGCACGCAGAAAAACGTGCAACGGTTTTCACACACACCATGATCGGCGAAAAAGCGGATTATTCGAAAAGAATTTGCGCTTATAAAAGAGGATCTGCGTTGCGTCACTTGATTGCTTGTTTGCGCCGATTGTATATATTTGCGACGCGAGTAGGGCTTCATCGCGCGCTGCAGCCGTCGAAACTCACACTACAAAACCACCCTGGCGAACATTGCTTTCAGCCCTTTGCAATCCTCTTATGCAAGAAACATACAACCAAGCAGCGGTTAAATTCCTTGGGAGGAAAACGCCTTTGAGCTGCGAAAGGAAGAGGAGACTTTGTGTATAGGCTTTCGATATTGGATTTCATCACAGTTGGAACGCGACCCATAAATAATAAAAAAATATCAATGTATACGAGTGGGCAATCTATATTTAAATGCAAATTCTGATGCTTTTAACTTGAACATTCAACATTTGATCGCCATTACTTAAAAAAATATATATTCTTTTATAATTACTACATAATCAGTGAAAATAGTGATATTTTTAACCATATTAGTTTTTTCTAATAAAATCAAATAATTATAATTGATAAACTTGATATTAAACTAATCATTTTTGCGGATTTAATTGACATATTTAGCAGAACTTTATTGAGAAGCTTGCGATTGTAGCTTATCTTGTTTTACAGTAAATACGTCGAACAAAAGTAATTTCGCTTTAGGCTGCGCTGGTTAAAAACAAGGAAGTGAATATACTCATGTTTATCCTCATTGCTAATCGCACCACTACTTATTTTTAAAGGATAATCTCCGCACAGGCAGATTAAACGCCCACTGCAAAAATGAACGGCAGCTTTCATGCTAATTTTAAACAAGTCAACCGCACTTGCCAATTTACTCTCGTGTCGCATAAATTGCTCCGATAAAGTTTTGTTGCGCAATTTCTCCTCCGCTTAATAACATACAGCGCGATCTAAATCTGTCCCTCTTGATAATATTTTGCAGCAGCTGTGAACTTTACAGCCGCCACGAGTGCAATATCTCTCGCTGTCAAGAAACAAGGCCGAGACCAATTCGCAAAAAAGAAGTGCGGATCTTCTATGCTCGCGAAGTTGGCACTGCTGTGCATGTGTTCGCCGTGAGCAAAACAAAGATGTGCCCTGCAGTCAAAATAAACACGAAAACACTCAGCGCCAAGTTGTCTCCCAGGCCCGAGAGCGACCATAATCTTAAGCTCGGCGTGGAGAAACGAAAGATCAGAGATAATTAATTGAACACGTGATCAGCGGCTCGACTTCGGCACACATCCATTATTTCTCTCCAATTCTAATGCGCAATTCGATTAAGAGACGGAAAAATGGCAGTGGAGGAAATATCTGCGAGTTTTTCTTGGCTGATCAATTTTTTGTCTCTGCTCCTTTGATGTCCTCCTTCTTTTCTTACTCGGCTCCCCGCGGGCGCTCGTTGCCAAGACAAAAAGAGTGTCTTCGCGACGAAGAAAATGGAAAAGTCACGCTTGACCCTGATACGCGGGTTGAGGGAAAAAAGAAGCCCCGAGAATGCTAACTGCGGCTGACGTCAATGGGTGCAGATGATCCAATCCCGAAATAAACGCGCGGTGCCTGCCCAGCTGACATGCCACAAGGCGCGCCATCAATTTGGGCCCATCAAAAACTCAAAACGGACTTGTCCTTTCATCTGTTGGCACCGAGAGCTCAAGAATTTTGCAACAAACGCGCTTCTCAAGGGCCTACTTGAAGGTCAAACGAGTTCAATCAACTTCAATATTTTAAACACGAATTTTTTATGCTTGATTTTGAGATACGACATTTGCACTTGAGATTAATTTTGTAATCATTAAATGCAGAATGACTAAATCTTTTTTTATTCAAATTAATTTAAATTATAAATTTGATAGATTTGATTTTAGAATTTTCAGACACTTCTTACAATAAATTAAATAAATCAATTGCGCTCATGACAGTCTTCTTATTGAAAAACGATTTTTATTATTTTTTTTTTTTTATTAAAAATAATAATGCAAAAATAATTCAATCATTGTAAAGTGTAAATCTTTTTTGTATTTTTTAACTTCTGCCTAGAGCATTATAGAAAATTTATAATTGGTTTTTGAATTGGTTTCTATCATTAAACCTCAATTAAAATTTACGTATTACGTTGCAAATATATATCAAAAGATTTAACTGCTAATACGTCTTAACCTTATTCACTTCACAATATTAGCTTGGAGTCAACGTTCGTCCAGCAGTGCTGAACTCATTAACTTCTTCGCGTTTATTATTTATGTAAATTTCTATCACTCGTTGACAAACAAATAGTTATTTTTACAATTCCACACATTTCAATCTTATCAAGCATATTCTAAATGACTGATTCAGCAATCTGAACCGTTTCTTGCATCATGGAAATCATAATTACCAGCAATTAAAGATGTGATAATTGTTGTTAGTCTGCTCCAGATTCACGCGTTGAAAATCGGTCGCTTTTGATTTCTTTTTTACTGAACGCGTATATCCGATTGTATTTCATTATATTTTATATATAAATATAGTCTCATTACAAAACGCACTGCAGGGTCTTCCACAATAGAATGTGGAGCACGCGAACGTACAGTACAACTCTAGTAATTGAAATTAGACATTTTACGCCTTTTAACTTTCGCTGGAGGTATCTGGTGCGGCTATTCGTATATTACTGCACAAAACTTTTATCCGAGCGCGAGAATGGCACAACACACAAAAAGGCTCTACTTCAACCAGCAGCAGCTTTCTCTTCTCTCTGTTGCTGTAATGCATATTTTCCCTTTCGCTCTCGAGCCACCGTCATTTCATAAAAATTGTAATCAACCAGCTGAGAATTATTGACATCCGCGATGGGACAAAAAATGCATTTATTTATCATTCTATACAATGTAGCGCAATATAGTGAATGACTCCTATTATTTTGCTAAAATGGCAATCAACTTAATTTGTGGTTGGTCTTACACCAGCGATGCACCTTCTTTTCCTTCCAAATATTGGCAGCACAATATTTCCAGATTAAAATGAATAAATTGATAATAAAATAAATAATTACTAGAATTTCAAATCTGAGGAAACTTTAAGAAATAACTTCTATGACAAGTTTATTACAAAATTTGTATATTATGCATTGATTCTTTCAACAGCAATTAAATTGTGCAAGTAAACACTGAACATGCCCATATTATAAATCATGGGGAAATAATAATTCCAGCTCTTTAACTTCTGCTATCTGCAATTGAATTCCTTAATAGTCACCGCCATTTTATCTATAATTGTGAATGAGACAAATAATAAGAAATCTTGACTTTTACTTGTCATTGTGAGTTGAAAGTGTAATTATCCGATGCACCGCGGGTAATTAAAGTCAGTAGTTGCGAATAAACGCGGGTGAGTTAACAAGAGAGAGAAACCGTTCTCGAGCGCAGTAAACCGCAAAAAAAAATGCAAGCAGATGTTGATTTCTTTCATCAAGATAGAGCTATAAAGGATTAGTGGATGTGCCGGCTTGACCGCAAATAGCGTTGAAAATCGATGCACAATGCACATTGGAGAGAGGCTGCAGTTCTCAAACTGCCAGAGAAAACTGACGCTGGGAAAAGTTGTTCAACCAACTGTTAAAAGTTTCATTAAATGGGTAAATTGATTTTAATTAATTTTAAAACAATTGAAGTTTTAGTTGAGGAACTTCAAATTTATTAAAATTAAAATGCTTAAATTTAATATAAATAAATACGATTTAATGTCTAATCAATAATTAAGGGACCAATTTTGCTCAAATTTATTTTTTTTCCAGGAGATGATTATCGATTTTTTTAAAGTTAGTTTTTCTGGTAATATTCTTGTGCGAGAACCGATTTGACGTGTGGGCGGGTCAAGGGAATTTTTCAGGTCAGCGCAACAAATGGGAGCGATGATTATAATTGCACGCAAGCAATCGCAAACAAAATCTGGAATCGTTACTCACTTTTCACTGCAGGTTGCGTGGGCACAGACGCGGACGTGGTGCCGCTGGTGGTGGTGCAATTAAGGTCACGGACCCTGCCGAGCGCTGCCACGGACGCGGGGACCCTTGGGCTGCAGTTGGAGCACTTGGGCGGGTGGACAGGCGATCCGCGGGGCGCGGGGCATGGCGGAGGTGCGGTGGCGGTCCGAATGATTGACGCGGGCTCAACCAGGCTGCTGCTGCTGCACTCGCGAGGGACTGCAACCAAAAATTTGGGTGTCAGGCAAAAAATGTGTCGCAAAAAACAGGGAGGAAATCCATACAATGAAATTTAGTTTTCTCCAATGCAACAATGAAATCAATTTTCACTGTTTGAGGGCCAATCAGAAGCGATTGTACATTTTATTAATTAATATTTTAAACTTGATACATTTTCTTCAGCGATCAAATGTGAATTAAAATGCAATAAAGCTCTACTATGAGTTTTGAGAATCAAATTTTTGCTCTCCTGCCTAATAAATGTAATAAATGTTCACAATAAAGCAATAATAAAATCATCAAGATGATTGAGACTTCAAGTTTAACACATTTTTAATTTTTTATAGTTCATAGAACATAGCGTTAAATATATTGTAATTCATTGTTATGAATCTATTTCATTCTTAAACAAAACGCAACGCCGCCGATAAATTAGCAGACTTTAATCCTTTGATGATTAAACTAGTAGCTTTAACAATGCCCGCAGACAGTATTTGAATATTATTAATTGCAAAAAAAATTTGAATGGAAATTATGGAAATTATGCATAATAATTAATAATCATACAAATATATGTATTTATAACATAAATTTGCTCAAAACAACGTTAAATAATTAAATAAGCAAAATTTTATTTTATGTATAATAGAAAACTTTATAATAATTGTAAATGTAATTAATATTTTTATATGTCATTTAATTTAATAATATTTAAAACGTGATTGATTTCTCGAGTACTAAACAAAAATAATAATAATGAATAATTATGCTGCAAAATAAAAAAAGAATCAAATAACAGTTTCTTGCTATTGGAAAATTTAGTTAAGCGTACCATGGCATGCCAGTTTATACATTTCAAATAGAAATAGCACTGCAGAAAAAAAGTACACTTCCGTCCAGTTTGACCCCCTTCCTGCACTTTCAATGTTTAAAATTAGCACGGCGCTCGCTGGCCCACTTTTATTGAGAGATTGCCGCAAAACCAAAGCACTAGTTTTGGCTTCGCAATGATTTTTTTCCTCTCTCCAAGCTTGATGAAAACCCGGTTGGTGCCCTCTTTGTGCGTTTGAAAATAATGTGACACTCGAGTGCCAAAAGCCGTCCTTCGACAACACTCTTCTGGCTGGCGAGAGATTGAAATTTAAGAAATCACGTGGCACGTTCGTGGTTGCGTTTAATAACACACATGATATGAGATCCCGTGGCCTTGCTTGTTAATAAAAACACAAACGAACGCCCTGCCCGAGAGAGAGAGAGAAGGGACATTTACACCACACTGCCTGCATGTTTTCCAACCTCTTCCTCCGCAGTGGTCTTATCAGACCAGCTGACAAGACGAAACGTGCGTTAGCCTCATCAAAAGCAGAGCCACTTGAATAATTCCACTATCTCAAAAACCAAATTCCCAGATATGTGAATGATTTTCCTGGTATTTGTTAAAAACTTTGACAGTTCCTTCAGATTTTTTCAAATGCTTTTTTTTCCTGGTACGCTTGAAACAAGATTTAAGCTGGGGGATTAAAAGTAACAATCATTAAACTAAATTGGCCTGAATTATGTATAATGCGCTCAGCATGCACCGCACACACTACACAATGGAGCTGCCGCGGCTTTTATGGCTCGGCTGGGTTATTATGCTGGCGGTGGCGCGGAAAAAGCAGCAAAAGGGTTGCAGCAGCGCGGGGCTGGAGCCGACTTCTTCTCTCCCAACTGTAATCATACTCGGCCGCGTTTCCATTTCGAGTGTCTCATTGAGAATTCGCCAGCTTGAATAAGCAACGGCATTTGTCTTGGAAAGCCAATAATGCTGCTGCTCAATGCATGCACGGGGAGCGTGTTTCTCAAATTCCCCCATGTGTCATACCGGTTGGAGCAAAATCAATATAGGATGGCAGAGGAAGACACTCGCCCTGTTTGTGCACACGATCCAGTTCCCTCTGATTCACATTTTCGTGCTCGAACGGCGTCCGCAGAGAAAAGGGCTAAAGCAACATTTATTCATCGATGGCAAGATCAATAATAATTATTAATTATTTTCCTAAAAATTGAATATTTTAAAAATAAGGTGTCAAGTTTGAATGTTTTTTTTATTTTTAATATTAATGAAAATAAATTTTATAAAATTACAAACATTTCAACACATTTCAATTAAAATAAAGGTTTAGATTTTTTTAGATTTAGCATAATTTTTTATTCTTGAGCATGCATAAAATATTTTCATCAAATTTTAAGAGACTAAAATATTGAAAGGTTAGAGTATCAGTGATTGGTCTATTTATGAATAAGTAAAAATTCTACTCATCAATTGTATTGATTTTGAAAATGGAAATTGAAGAAAATTGCTTATAGCGTGTGCGTAACAGGGTTGATTGGAAGCCAATTGGCCTGTCAATGTGATGTAATGCAAATTAATGCATGCAAGAGTGTGATTGACAGCTGAAGATAATAAAAAATGCAAACACAAAGCAAGACCTTAAAGAGCCATTTAACGAGAATTATGTAAATTGATGAAGATTTATTGGATTTAAAATTCAATTGCATAAATTTCTCATTATTTTTGCGTGCAGTTAAGTTGTTTGAATATAATGGCGCATTTAATGAGCCTTGTTTTTTATTCCTTCACTTAAAAAAAAAAAAATTCAATTTTGTAACTGTGCTTCAGTTCAGCATAATATTCCAATTCACCTACTTCCTGCCGTTTGTTTTATGCAAATCGTTTCTCAGCGTTATTAAGCTCGTCCGGGGCACCCGTACGTCAATTTGATACGGACGTAACTCAAAACGTGTCGAAAATTCGTCAAGGAAGAGAGGAAGAGGCATAATATAAAAAGAAGCAGTCTGCAACTCGAGTCGTTCTTCACACACCAGACAGCTCTCGATTTGCATGTCACATAAGCTGTTTGTTTTATTACGTAAAAAGAAGCTCTCGGGTGTTCATTTTCTCTCTTTGAGCAATGATTGAGCACTTTCAAATACCACTCCCTGGTAATAAATTGAAGAAAAAATTCAAAAACTGTCAATTCGTTCGGACAGAATGCACAAAATGTCGCGCACGCAGCCACAAAAAGGTGCATTTGTGTCAAATTTGAAAAGGGCGAGAATAAAGGTGGAATGGCTCACCTCTGAGGTCTTTGAAGCGGCGAAACACTACGAGGAAATGAAACAAACTCAAAGTGCTACGAAACAAGGTGCAGATCAGGTCGATATTCACACTGCCGTGATGGGCCCAATTCGCGAACGCTCAGAGTTCGGACTCGTGTGTCTCACTGGCGTATTCACCGAGCTGGCTGTTCTCTGGCAAGGTCCCCCTGCTGCTTCTCGCATCAGCTGGCACCCAGGCAGGTCTGTCACGTGGTACCCGAGCATGCTCTCCATTGGTCTTATTCGGAGGGGAAACGCAATCATATGGTTTTGTCTCTCTGCGCCTTTTTATTTCGAATATATATCGCGACACCGAAAAGCGGCCTAGACTTTTTGACTTTGGCCGAATTCGGGCGGCCTCGGGCCGAATCCGGGCCTCGAACCCTGCGCCCCAAGTGGCGTGTCGAAAGCTGTCGGGCTGTGTGCAGATTGTCGCTTCCCCTTCCTATTCCTATGTGGAAACGCTGCTCTCTGCCTAGCAACAGTCCAAGCCTTGCTGCATGCGAGGGATACAAAAAATCCACGTCCCGCTGGAGCGAGGCAGGGGAACAATATCAGCGCCGTTCAATGACACCTCCGGATTAACCCTTTTTTAGAGCGCTGTGTACAGAGACACACCGGCGGATTGCGTGTTAAGAGGGTCACTGAGTCGGCAGACTGCTAATTAGCCGCTGAAAATCCTCAGACGGCCTGCCTCGCTTTGTATTTGCACCGCAGAAGAATGGGCGCCGCTCTGTTGAGCAATTTTCAATTTCGCGATGCTTGCGCCTTTTTTATCTAAAAGGGTCCGAGCTTTGCTGCAGTATTGTTTAAAAAAAAATTATAATTAAATTTAATGAAAGATTTTAAATATTATTTAAATATGAAACTAATCGTTTAGGGCCCAAACGAGAGAAGCTAAAATTGGCAATTCGAGATTATGTTGCTACGCACTAGGTATACTCCTGATGAGGAGTTTAGAGAGACTCCCCTCACGAATAGCAGATTCCCAGTTGGTAACAAGCGGCACTGGATGGAGATGGAAAGGCTATATATTTAGTGTGCAGTGCGCAAAACCCTTTTTTACACAAACAGGTTGGCAACCGGGTTGAGTATTTATAGCCTCAGATGAAATCAAGCTTTAATTGAAACTTACAGAATTATATAAATTAAATTTTTCAAATTCGAAATTATTTTTATTAGACTAATTGTGAAAAAATGAAAAATATTGAATGTAATAACTGACAGTGCTCAACCAAAATCCAAAATTTTTACTCTACGAAACAATTTGCACAAAATGAATGTTTTACTTCATTGCTCATCAGGCGTTTGCGAGCATGGTCTGATAAATTAATCATTCTGTATTCATATTTCACTGCAACGCCTGGCGTGTACAAAGAGCGCTAAGTAATGCACAATGAGCAATATATACATACATGTGTCATCCAACGCTTGATTTACGAGGGAGCGCAGTTAAAATATTTACGCAGCAAATGACAATGTAGAGTGGTGTGTGCGTTGGATTTCAAATGGCACGCGGCCCGCAAATAATACACGTGATAATTATTTATGGGTAAACAAAGAGAGTTCTAATTTCTGCTGCGTGTGCACTTTAAATTTGAATTCCAAATTAATATGGCTTCCAGGCATATTCATTGTAGCGGTGCCACACCAGTGATTGGAATTTGACGACCAAAAGCTTAAATCGTTCGTTTATAGTTTGTGATTTATTATAATTGTGCCCGAACCACAGATATTATGACTTTTAATATTTTAGAAAGCACGACACAATAAAATAGAATTATATCTATTTTTTAAGGTTTAAGACTAAAACAGTTTCCTGTCCAAGAATATAATTCTTCCTAATAACATAAATATTGTATTTGTTTAATTAAAAAAGATAATTATATAGCTTATAATATATTATAAGCTTGTTGGAAAAGAACTAAAAAAATCTTAATTTCTAAATTAAAGGGGAATTATTGTTTAAAATTGAGGTTTTAATGCAAAAGATCACCCTTCTTTAATTTAAAACATGAATAATTAATATTTTCTATAATTACATTTTATAAAAAACGAGTAAACAGGTCATCAAGTCATGGTGCTTTAATTGAAAATTAAAATAATGCGCACCTATTGAAAATTGAAAAAACAAAATAAAAATTTACGTCTCGAGCAATGCTAGAAAAACGAATATTTTGCTTGTTATTATGACACGCCATGTATATAAATTTTTCATTTAATCAATTCTGCACAGCAACTATGAGATATATGTACACCTGCATGGCGTCTGATTGCCTCCCACCATCAATCAGTTGATAAAATGACAGCAAGTTCAATATTATGCAGTGGAAACTGCACTTTCATTGCCGTAAGCAGAAAAAAGTTTTGTAAGGCTAAAAAGTTACACGCGCTCATAGTGAACAATTCGATCGCGCGAGAAAAGGATGCATTAAAAATGAGGTTCACTTGCAGTGCACTCGCGAGAATAATGCAGTCTGCCTTGTATGCATCTGATTTAGCCGCTGACCTAAATCTATCTACGTTCGAGAGGCGAATTGCAACACGACCATGCAGCGGCGACCAACTCGTGGCACATTTGTCGGAAAACGAAACGTGCCCCCGGTTTGACACTAAAGCAGCGCGAAGAAGGCCACAGGGGACACTGCTCTCTAAATATATACCCCTTTATGACCTATAAGGATATTGGGCCGTGGCACTTTTTATATAATTCACGCACACACCGGAGGGCGACACACTATTAATGTCCGTCCACTTTGCGTTAGTTGCTGGCAAGTGCAAAATTATTGCGCACATCCAACACATGCAGCAGCTCACCACCCGGAGTTGCGGGGTTGATTTATTTATCGCTCATGCTACGAGCAGATGTTCCGACCCGCTCTAATTTTAGAGAATCAATTCCTTGTCAACCCAGCAGTATACTAAAGCACGCCATCCATTTCCATTTGGAATTAAAAGGATTCTTCTGTACATCCCTTCAAATAAGCCTCTTACGATAATTGATTGCTCGTGTATGATTTTAAGGTTGATTGATTTTTCACCCCTGCGTTCACCCCTTTCAACGATATTCCATTTGTTTAATATAAATTGTATCAAAGACTGTACGGACGGTACCAAAGTAAACAGAAGGATCTTGGTTTTTAACCTCATTGAAAAATGCATTTTTTTTGTGAAGTATTATTCTTATATAACTCAAGTTCGAATCAAATTGGGCTAACAAGATTTTACAACACAAATGGGTTTCAAAAATGTTAATTACAAATAAATGGATTTTTTTTTAATTTATTGAAATTTTTTATTTTGTTCAATTTTTATTTTTTCAATAAAAATTTATTGCTATTTTTAAGATTCATAAAATCCTGAATCGGGAACTTGTTTGTACCCTTCAAATTAATCAATGCATGGCCAAATTCCCACGGGAAAAATACAAATTTTGGTAATGAAATGATATGAATTTTTTTAGTACAAAGAAAAAATTAAAACGCTGGCTTTTATTAATTTTAAATTTTTTAATTTTCATAATGTTTAAAAATTTATAACCCATTTATAATAAAATAAATAATGCCAAAATTTGAAAATTGTTTTAAAAGGAGACGATTGTTGTGCACATCAGTTGTACTACATAGTAATTTGACCCAAATATAAAAACAAGAGATGTTTTCTGGGCTTCAAGAGTAATGCAATTGCAAATATATACAAAGCAGGCTATACCGAGAGGTGTCACAGAGCTGACCCAAATCTTTTCAAGATCCCATAAGACGGATATTACGCCACAGCCACAACTCTTCATTCTCGTTCATCAGGGGGTTCAAGGAGAAAAGCATTTTCTGCAACTTCTTCTCGGCGCTGCAGCTGAGAGTCCCCGAGATCATTAGCCGAGAGAGACTGCGCTGCTTTTTACGACCGACCAAAGGACGAAACTCCCAAGGCTGGCGATTCTCAAAAGGCTTTATTTCACTATAGACTCGCGACACACGAACATTTCTTCAAAACACAGAGAATTGTCTTCCCACCACGCGCGCCAAAACTTTTGCGACGGGATTAATTAAATTACGACTCGTATAAAAAGGGAAGCTAGCGAATTTTACTCATAGAAACTTTTTCTCTTCATTGACGCTGCAGGGGTATATAAATAGCAAAACTTCTCATCGACTGTTTTGAAATTGAGGAAGAGCTTAAAAAATGAAGTAAAAAGATAGATGAGCTTGCCTATTTTTAAACTGAAGTGGAATATTGGAAATTAAAATAATTTACTTTGAGCTAGAGCCAACTATAGCTGCGGCTCTTTTTTGTATTCTTGGTAGAAAAGCACAAAGAAAAAAGCAGGTCAACTTTTCAAAATGTGTGTGTATTTTTTTTTAGCACTCAATTTAGAACAAAATTTACCAATATTTGTATTCATTCATGTAAAATAGGGCCACAGTAAGTGACCAACTGACCAAGATTTGGCGAAAAGCTTTAATTGTTTTTAATGTGCCAGCAAATACAAGAAAATGTTAAAAATCTTGACTTTAGCCAATCACTGCGTCGATGCAAAAATATTTTAAAAATTAATGGTAATTAAAGTAAACAATTTGTATGAGTAATACTTAATTTAAAAATATTTATCTACAAAGTATCAAAATTTCCAACCGAACTTGTAGAAAATGTCAATATTTGTAAAAATTCGTTTCTCTAAGGAAAAAAAATAATACTAAAATAATCTACGTGAATAAAAAATATATTTCCTGTTATTTTTTGTTTTAACATTTGACAGTGTAGTGAAAAAAGTATCTAAAGATTTAAATTTAATTATGATGTTATATTTAAAAAGAAAAAAAAATTTTATTAAAGAAAATTTTAATTAATGTAAATGAGGCAACAAATGAACACCAGCTTAAAATAAAACCTTTTATTAAAAGGTTTAAATCCCCGCTGAGTTTTTGATCACAAAATCCCGAAATAAACCTTTTCGCTAGTTTCCTGAAAAATATGGGCGAACGGGTTATATAAAAACCAGTTCCCAACGTGGAGATCGTAGCAATCAAAGGGTCTCGAGAGATATCTCTTGAGTTTTGGCCGAACTACGTGAACGCTTTCCGATCGACCACAGCCCACCTGTTTTTCTCTTCACTTCACTCGTCACCCCCTTTTTAATTACGTAAACAAACAAATTGCGATTTTTGTGCTTAGCAATGCTGTGACCTGAGACCGAGGGGGTCAACCAGCGCCAAAAAAATCAGCATGAAGGTCATCGAGGGAAAAATCGTGGTGCTCGGCGCCCAAGGTAAGCGCAGCAAATCACGTGACACGCGCAGACCAAAATAAACCCGGCTACGCACAGAAGAAGTTTGCGAATTGCAAGTAAAGCAAAAGGCTATTATTCTAATCGTGTTGCAGGTGTAGGGAAAACCAGCCTGGTGGTTCGATACATAGGAAAAATGTTCAGTCACCACATCAGCCCGACGATAGGCGCCTCGTTTTTCACCTGCAAAATCAACCTGGACAACACCAGGATAAAACTACAGGTTGTATAATTTCACTTTGACTGACTTAAACGGAATGATTGATTGATTAAATTTGTAGGTTTGGGACACGGCTGGACAGGAGCGGTTCAGGGCCATGGCGCCAATGTACTACAGAAATGCAAACGCGGCGCTTTTGGTTTTTGACATTACGCAAGTGCACTCGTTTGAGGCGGTTCGAATGTGGGTTAAAGGTATGCATTATTATTTGTTTAAAATTTAAAATTAGCAATACAATTTTTGGCAATGTTTTCCAAATATCATTATTTTTTAATGGCATCTTTTCATAGCTTTTGATTAATTTTAGTCTTTGTAGTTTATTTCAACAGAAATTAATTGATAGTTTTCTGAAAATAAATTTATGTGAATATCAAATATGACATTATTTACCATTAAAAATTTTTTTAAATTAATTTTTTTAAACATAATAAATTTTATCATTAAATTTTATATATAAAAAATGATTAGTCTATTATAAAAAATGATAATTAAACTTTCATATTGTCTAAAAGTTGATCAGACTATTTTTTTTTAAAAAATCAACAAACTTCATTAAAAAAATTCTGGTAGCAATTAATAAGGACTCTCCTTATTATTACACAGTCAAATCAAAACCATGGTTGCTGAAATTTTTCCTTGTTTCAAATAATTTATAAATTGACCCTAAAGACATGATTAGACTGAGTCAATAGGGAGGCTCTAATTACTATTGTTGCACAGATTTGATTATTTGTCCTTGTCACGGAAGAGCAACCTCGATTAAAAAAAAAATATGGAAGTTTATTTCATTTAACATATAAAGTCAACTTGGAATTATAATCATTGAAAATTTCATTCTTTTTCCCAAATTTAATTTGATTACAGAGCTGCAGAAAAACGTGCCTGAGCCCATGGTGATGTGCTTGGTTGGAAACAAGACTGACTTGGCAAGCGAACGCAGAGTTTCCAGGGACGAAGCCCAACAGTTTGCTCAAACCATGGGCGCTGCTTACTTTGAGTCATCGGCCCTTCAGGACTATGGTAAAATTAATTTTAAAATCTTTTTTTTATAACATTTCATTAAAATTTCTTAGGTATTGAGGAAATTTTTCTCTCAACGGCGATGGAGTTCATAAACTTGAGCAAGCAAGGGGGACACACGTTGAAGGTTTACGATTCAGAAACGCCGGCGACGGCGCCTCCGACCGAAGAGGTCATGGGCAACGTCAGCCTCGAGTCAGTGGCGCTTGGAGAGCCAGCTAAAGGAATGTGCTGCTAAATTGTATTTCATCCGAATTTATTTTTATTTTTTTATTTCACGAATAGCTCTCGCCGAGGCCAGACTTGCTTTTGAAATAAGCAAACTGCTCTATGTAGTGTAAGTTCATTATATTAAGGCAGCTTTTCTAGTTTTTGATATATCTGAATTCGCTTTTCGAATTTACATACATATTTTTACATTCCATAACTTTAAAAAAATATCATGACAACTGTGATAAATACGAGATTTTTGCAAAATGATCAAAATATAATAATGTCTTCTTATTCTCTTATTGTGCCAATCATTAACCATAAATCACAAGTGTCATAAATTATATTGAAACATTAAAAAAGGATGCATTTTCCTGTCTATATACAATATTTAGTTGTAAAAGATATTAAAAGATGAAAAATATTTTTCCAAAGTGCTAAATAAGGTAAACGAGAATTTGATTTCGAAAACCAGAGGTGAGATAACGATAGCCGGTTTACGATAACAGGCCAGCGTGTGACCTTCATGATCATTATCACCAAACTAAGCATGTAATATTTTCGTTTCTGTATGAATTTTTGGTCAAATTACCTGAAATTCCTAGCGACGGGAAGCGATGACACGGAGAGATGTATTGATCCGTTGCATCTTCAATCGCCTCACTGGCAACTGCGTTGCGTTTTTAGCAAGTAGAGTTAACGTAAAGGTTGCAAATTAAACTGGATCCATTGAAAATTTCACTGCCGACACTTTTGTTAGGTTCCGAAATCGTTTCGACAACGCGCTGGACTTTTCCGTAGCGACCGTAAACCGAACTAAGCAAGTTCCTACGAATTCCTGCAGGTGTCAGTATAAATCGGTACGCTAAATTTGCAAATTTGCGCTAAATCCAATTATATTTTCTTAGAGTATTCGACAGGATTTTAAAGTTTTTATAGTTCTCAAAACTATTTTATGTAGTTAACTGTTTTTTAAATTAAAAAAACACAAAAAATAATTTTTTAATGTAAAATTACTTTTTTTAATTGAAATTTAGCAAAATAATAACATTTTAAACCAGAGAGTACCTCTGAAATATTTGGCTCCCTGTTAAAACGCCACTTGTAAACGTAGTGGACAGTGGACAATCACAAAGATGGCGGCGTGTCAACAAGGCGTACGAACGCAGTTGGGAAAATGATTTGATAAGGAGAAACGGAGGCGTCAGCGAAGAGAGCGTTTCGGACGTGCATGCGGTGCAGCGGCCGCTCGAGGAGATGAAGGAGGCCGGCGGGGCCAAGGGGGCGGCCGGGGGGCCGCAGCGCAGCAGGGGCGACCGATACCTGCCCCAGTTCAAGGAGCGCGTGGTGATTTTCGCGAAGACTCACACCTTCCTGGAGACGGCCAGGAAGTTCAACGTCCACAACACAACCGTGTCCGACTGGGTGCGGGACTACGACAACAAACAAAAGCTGACTGACGAGCCGCAGCCCGCGCCAGAACTGATGGACACGGCGGACAGCAGCAGCGCCGACGAGGCCTTCCGAGACTGGCTGCTGCCGTGCGTCAACGACGAAGCCGTCAACTCAATCACCAGAGATGCCCTGGTGCAAAAGGCTGAAGAGGCGGTGCGCGACTCGGACACCGCCTCGAACTGGTTCACCACGTGGCTCCGCAGACTGAAGGACGAGACCAAGAAGCAGCGCAGCTGCAACCATCTGCACTACCCGCCGTGGTTCAAGACTGCCGTGCGCCTTGTGGCCGCCAATTCCAGTCCGTGGAAAGCGGCGCACGCCTTTGGCATGTCCCACCGCACTGTCTGCGGCTGGGTCAAGACGTCCACCCAGGACACCAAACTCAAGATTGAAAAGAGGGAGAGAAAAGATGGACGCCAAGTCACGGACATCAACATTGACAAGCAACTTGTCAAGGTTATATCGATAGCCTTTGACCTAAATAATACATCACAATTTCAATTCCAACCTATAACCATACAATGTGAAAAAAGAAAATGACTATTAAATTTGTATTATAGATCTAAGTACCAAGCTTATCCAAAATTGCTTTTGATTTTGGATTTTTATGAGTTAAAAGCTGACCTATTTCCATGAAATATAATTTTTTTCTGGTCCAATATTTATATATTTTTTCGTTACTACTTCAGGCTTAATTATTTCAACTATATTTAATTCTAATTTGCAATTTTCAGTGGGTGGAAATCACATTCGGCGATGGAGCCATCAAGAAGCTGGACGTTCGCAAGAAAGCCCAAGAACTATTTTCTGCAGCTGGCTATCAAATGGCCTGCTCGAACGGCTGGTATGCTCGGTGGTGCCGCAGGAACATGGTAAATACCAAGAAGAAGTTGGCTCTAGATACGAAAGTTGAGCATAAGCTTGTGCACTGGATTCTGACTGAAACTGAGAGGTGAAGATTATATTGGTAATTTTTGCTGAAATTTAAATTAAATTCTTTTGCAGGTGGCAGCCCATGTCGAACATTCTTTTGAGGGACCAAGCAATTAAACTAGGCAAACTGACAACATGCAATGATGACTTCAAAGTGTCGAGTTCTTGGCTGTTCCGCTTTTTGCATCGTTATTCCTCAATCTTGCAACCACACCGAAATATTTGTGAAGACATCTATCCTGAATTCATGACTCAAGCTGTTAGCGAGTTCAGAAGGTCCCTGGAGAAAATGTTCTTCATCGGCTGTATGGACGAGCTTCCCATTAGTTTCTCCTACCCCATTGCAGGTGAATAATTTAGAAATTATTATTTTGTTCTAGGATGTAGTCAAATAATTTAGGGAAGGGAAAATTTGAATATTATTTATTTCATTTTAGATGCTGATGTGGATTTGAGCTCATGTGGCATTAACGTAAAGAAAATGGAACTTCTGCCAAAATCATCACCCAAGTACACCTTTGCTCTGTTGGTTCTCTCTGCTCTAGAGGATGGCCAAGTTTTGCCACCTTGCCTCATTTTCCCAGTAAGATTTTTCCAACTAGAAAGCTCTGAACAGACATTTTACACTATTGGTTTTTAGGACTCGATCGACTCTTACAAAGACTGTCCCGAGGTGAAGTCGAACCTTGTGCGCATCAAGTCCCAGAAAACCATGGTGATGGAGACTGAGAGCTTCAGGCAGTGGATCAAGGAAATCTGGTTCAGCCACATCACAGTGCCTAATGCCCTGGTTGTCGACTGCCTTGATTCTCACAATGATGAGTTTGTGGCTGATGCAATGGAAAAAATGGCATGCTGCTTGGCAATCATGCCCAACGGGTGTTCCAACATCTTGCAGCCGCTGCAAAGAGGAGGATTTTCTGATTGGTTCATGGTAAGGTCTTTCAATTTCATGATATATCGCAAATTTACCTCGAATAATTGAATCTAATGTGTCATTTTTTCCCTGTATACTGTTTACAATTTAAATTGGACCAATTTGAAAATATTTTTTTTCCATATAGAATGGATTGCGAGAAAAATGGTTGAAAACAACTGTGCCCGAGAATTTGGCTGTCCCAACACCTCGACAGCTCATTGAATGGTCTGCGGAGCTGTACAAGCAGTCCCAGGATTCGCAACAGCAGGTTTGATGATTTATTTCATAATACTTGTTTCATGTTTTTTTTCTAAAAAAAAAAAAATAAATTTTGCAGGAAATGGTCATTCAAGGCTTCAAGCTGGCTGGTCTGCGAAGTGACCCGTTGTTCTAAAAGGAAGGAGTATCAAAGCTTGAGAGTAAAGAAAAATATGGTGAGAAAAATTGTTGATTCAATAGGATTTTGGCTGATGACGAAATTGGGTGTCAAACATCTAAACTTTCAAAACACACTGTTTTAATTAATTAATCTTGGAATCTCTTTTTTATGAGGTTTGTTAAGAGTTTTTCGTGATGGCTGATTTGGGTTTTTAAAACCAATTTTGATGAACGACTGATAGAAAATGACGAGTGTGTCTCAAACATTGTAACCTCAAAGGATGGTTAAATTGATTAACAAGTCTTTTACATGCAGAAGCAATCCAGAGGATTGGAAACATTTATATGATGATCAGAATTGATTTTGTTCATTTGGTTTATTTACAAGAATTATAAATTGCGCTGAAATTCACTAACAGGGGGACTCGTGTGCTGGCATGTTAATAAGCCGGCAATTAATTATATTAATAGAAAACACAGCTGATATCGTGAGTTCCTTGTTTAAATCTTAAGTGAGAGGTTCAAACGTTTGCAATAACAGGATTGTGAGATGAAAAGAATGACCAAGTAATCGAATTACTTGTCAGATGTGATATGCAAAGTTACAAACTAAAATGATAAGGATGAAGGCCTGAGGCTGGAAATCTGACACGTTGGATTATGCACACGAGAGAACCCTATTGCAATTTATTGCGTGTTGGCGACTAAAATTTTCGTTTTGGAGTTTTGTTACAAGTTAAGCTTACGTATTGATAATTCAATTATTATTATTATTCAATATATTATTTAGTATTCTGACAATTATATTAAATAATAATGTAGTTAGATTCTTTATGAAATATTTCATATATAGTTATTTAGATAAGCAGGGACAGAATTTTTATTTAATGAAATTTCATGTGTGGAGTTTTTGCAAATGTCTCATTGTGAGACATTCACAACTTGATTCTTGACCTCGTAACGTGTTTGCAACACCACAACCGACTGATTCTTGACTACTGAAAAATGAGGACTGACACAAATTTTATTAATTTGCTGCACTGAGAAACCCGATCGGAAGATTCTGTCCCTGCAATTAGCCGCATACAAGTTTAATCATAGGAAAATTATAATTGGCATACACTTTTAAGTCTTTTAAAATTAGTTTAGCGATCGCAGATATGGATGCGTATTTTAATCCTATGATTACTCTTTCCGAGAATTAACAAGTAGTTAGTCTGAGGACAAAGTATAACCATTTCCCCTTAGGAAAGATGGCAAAAACACGATTAACAGCAACTATTGGACTAAATGATAACACTATATAGAGACTTGTAAACATTTAAACTGAGGAAGGAAACTACCGATTGTTGTTTAGCTAGTTCAATTTATTTCTGTACTGAATTCAAAAGACTTACAAGGAAAAGAATATTGCATTACATATGACTGAGGCTTGCAAGACTTTGAAAAACAAACAACAAACAAATCATCAAAATGTTTTTCATAGAACTGACGGGATCGAAAAATAATTAAATGGCGTAATTATTTGTTTGTTTTCTTTTTTACCTAACGGCGCGCCCCGCTTTGTTGACGAGGGGGCGCACTAAAAAGTGCAAGACACGAATTACTGAATTTTGTGCTATTGCTGACACCCCTGCCGGTCGCTTGCCTGAGTGGCCTTACATTTATTCGATCGGTCGGGGGCAAGGCAAAGAACTGCTGCTGAATCCAAAAGCGCCGACCGTCGGGGCATCCAATGTCCCCGAGCCGGCTCCACTTTTATTTCGCCATCTCACACTGAATGATGCTAAAATATTGAAATTTGCCAACAATAACTGTCTGATCAGCCAACAAAAACCGCTGATTTTTAGATTCTTAAAAACGTAATCGTAAGAATATTTCCCTCGGAAAGTTTATGTAATTAGCCATTTGAATTTTAATGTAAGAGGTTTTGCAAAGGTAGAAACGTTCAGTTCAAAGTGCATTCGTTCGATTAGCCAATTTATGTTTCACCGACAGCTTGTTCGATCCGATTGTTTAGCAAAATTTTTAAGAAAGTAAGTTCACGAGACACCATTGCATTGCTGATACAACAATAACAAGTAATATGTAAATGTTATATATATGATCATTCTGATATACCTGTATAAAAACATTTAATTGACTGCTGCATGATTGTCTGCCGGCGGACTGCACAGGGCGAGAAACTGACTTTTTCCGCCACTCTAGCTGCAAATTGACTTTGCCTCCGGAGGAATAAGTGCGGTCCGACGCTCGAACTACAATATAAAATAGACTTCATTTTTAATTGTATTGACTGCTATATATTCAAAATAATTGTCGTTTTTCATGACTGAGGAGCCACCAATTCACTAAAAGATTGTTTACAAATAGACTCACACACACAACAAGAAAATATAAATGTATGAGAAAAAAATCGCGTTTGCTGCAATAAACAGACTTACTTAGTAGCATGTTTGTTGCCATAAAAGTGTAATTTGTAATTTTCCATGGATGGACGGTCGGCGGAGGAAGGCGCGTTTGTCTGCGGCTCCACCGTCGCCGACACACATTTTGCTGCTAAAATGCTACTTTGAATAAAACAGTAAACATGCAAATATACTGATGTGTAATTTGTATTTTCTCTTGTGTCCGGAACATTTAGAACTGCGTAATGACTGAACATGAAAATAAAATCTGTTTAACTATCTCTATATAGTACTGATGATGTGTTAGTCTACCAGTATGTAACTCGCAGCATGTAAGCAAATAAAAGTGTTTCTAAACACACAAACCTGCATATTATTTTAACTGAACATCTTTAAAGCAAATTTGAATCATTTGTTATATAATTACTGAATTTGACTTTGCAAGGCATTTTATTCTAGTCTTTTCGGGACATTAATAAGCCTTGATATTTATTAGTTTTTCCACGTTAAAATATTTTACTGCTGTAATTTTAGTTATTTTATTCCTTGAAATCACTGAAAACTAGGCAAAAATTGATTTGCGCTTTACGAGATTCATTTTTAGTTTCACCTGAGGAGTATCCTGTGCCGCTTGACTATTAAGTTGCGCTGGTTGCATAGTTGTTCTCATGCGTTTCATTCTTTTTTTTACCATAATTAGAAATTAAAATATTTCATTCTCTGTAATCATCGAAATAATTTGGTGCCGCGTCTAGAAACATACTAAAAAAGGAATGTATGTAATGAAAAAGTTAAAAGAAAAATGTAAATGTTTTTATTTATTTTATTGGGTTTTTATTTAATTTTATTTTTAAATTATTTAAAACATTTTTTTATATTCATCTATAATATACATTGTTATGTTTTTAATTTTTATTAAGTAATTTTGAATTTTAAACATTTTTCATACTTTTATCTAAAATATCAATATGTTAAAAAAGATTTTTATTTTTATATAACTTTGGCCTTACCATTTCATTTTGAATTTACATTCTAACCAAAGACATCCTCAGTTGATGTTTCTAGGTTACAGTTTACGGTTGTGAGATGAGATGATTATAAAGCATTTAATTTAACATCAAAAAATCATTTTTCTTGGAGTCGCTAATTTAATTATATATCAAGAAATGATGGAAATGAAGCGATCGGGCTTTTCCTCGTTGCAGAAAATTGTTTTTATTAAAAAACAAATGGCTCTACCAGTTTGTTTTTGAATAAAAAAAAATTCTGCAACGAGGAAAAGCCCGATCGTTTCATTTCCATGATCATCTCCTCGAGTGTCAAATTCTTCAATCAAGAAATGATTTTTGAAATTTGGTTACAGTATTTATGAGAATTGATTATGTTAGCCCTTATATTTGTTATTTTTCTATCTTGTTTGACAGACATCAAGTTTTCTTCTTATAATGCTAGGTTTTAAGATACATACAATTATTGCATTTCATTATTATAAAACAATGATTGAATTGTGTTTTGCCAACCTTTGAGAGTGCATCTTTTCTCATGCACCCACACTCGTGTTTGAACAAATAAAATGCTTGAAGCAGCTCGAACGTCTTATATTGATTCTTGAATGGCACTATCGTGACTGCGAGAATTGTGTGTGTAATTAAAGACAATTCTTGGGCTAACTCTCGCACTCTGGCAGGCAGCTTGGGGCTTTCAAAGGTATTTCCGATTGCGTTTCGGACTGACTGGCTGGTGAATTGAAGGACACCTTCAGACGGCAATATATTCCTAACAGCGAGTTTTTCAAAGATTATTTTCCGCCTAGATTTGTCTGTTAATTGATTCTAGAAAAATAAGGGTTCAAAGAATTTAATTGCACTCTGCCATAACACAAGCAAAAATAATTTCCTCCTGATCAGAAATAAAGTGATGTGGGAACTTCATTCGTAATTTTAAAGATGGCTGAACCTAATTAAATGTTGGTTTTGTTTGAGTTTTTTTCAGTTATTTTTTTTTAAACTTAAAAAACGTTAATTAAAAATAAAATGCAGTAAAATTAGTCTGAAAATTATGGTAATACGAATCAAATTTTTATTAAATGTAAGGATGGATTATTTTAATGGTCAAGCATCACAAAGAATAATATAAAATAATTAACTGCCGTCAATTAAATGAGTCAAGTTAAATGGCTAATGAGCAGTAATTGAAAAGCGCCGCGTCTGTTTTACTCGCATTTGTTGCGGCTGCCTGAATACACACATGCAAATTGGGCACGCATCCGCCTCACAGGTGGGCCGATATCTTGGAAAACGCGGCTCCATTAACGTGCCGAAAATGAACTCTTGTTGTAATGACACTCACTCACGGTAGTCACGTTTTGTGATTTACGCCGCTCGGGTGGATGCGCTATAAAAGAGAATCCCGCGCCTGCCTCGCGGTAATTAGCTCCATGAAGTGTTTTTTTTTTATATTACATTCATATACATACGACTGCTTTTAGCTTTCCTTGTCTTGAAGTTTCTCGCGAATTATGCAAAAGCGTTAGAAGGAGGAAGACGATGTAAAAAGGTTTTGCGGAATAAAACTTGAATATGGCAATAAAAATTAATGCCCCTGCGCAAAATCGTTGCACTTTATGCTCGGAAATGAATGAAAAGTAGCGCTATATATATCAAGCCAATTATTATTAATGCATGTACATGTTAAATGAGTGATCACACAATCACCGCCACCTGCATTATCCTCCTTTTGAAATTTGTTTCGGAGGATATGCATCTCACAGGAAATATTACATGAATTATTCAAAAATGTAAAGAAACGTGTAATGAGTTTGTTACATAAATTTTTAAGTAGTAAATAAATATGATTTTACTTGCAGCTCAGATTTAGTTGGTTGAAATTGTTTTGGAAAAAAACGATTGGTTTATAAACAACAAGAAAAATCAAATAACTTTATTCCTTCTTATTCATGTTTAAATTAAATTAATGTATTTAACATTATTATCTCCTTTAAAAGTGGAATTTTGATATTTTTGTTTTGAGAAATTTTAAGGACTTCAGTTGATCTTCAAGCCAGTTAAACTTTTACTCTAAAGTCACAATATTATGATGCTCTCTCTATCGCGCGCGCGTCTTCTTAGGCGCGGCAACTCTTTTAAACACAAGCTTCTTGGCTCTCGCGAAGTGGAGGCTCAACTGGGGAAGATTTCTTGGTACTGGCGTTGCTGCAGGCGCATTTACAACTCGCGGCGAGGAGACCTCCATCATCTTTGCATCACGCAACTTGGCTCTGAGCGACGGAGCAACGGCAAAGAGAACCACCACAGCCCTGCGCCTCTCTGCACCTAATCCGCCAACAGCAAGAAAAATATAATAAAATAACTTATTTCAGGTTATTACATGTTTAAAACGAGATTATCATAGAGATTTAAAAAAAATTAATTAATTAAAAAAAATTATTTTTGTTAAGTTTGTCAAAAAAAGTAAATATTCATGTTCAATTTCTCTTTGATTCCTTATTATTGGTAACAAGTGACAGGTGTAAAATGAAATGCCACGTTTGAATTAAATTAAATAAACAAATCTCTAAAAGTGCTAATTTTATTTTCGCCTGCCACGACAAAATTCGTGCCAATAACTGTGATGAGAAACCTTCTTTGAGCCGTTTGATATCAAGTGTTAATTTACAAAGTCGACAGCAATTCTTTTTCTTTCACCATTGGCGGCATCGATTTCTTGATGATAAGTAGAAATTCACGAATACAAGCAGCCAATTATATTACTTACTCTTGGTTCTAAAACTCTCGTGACTTTGCTCGCGTTTTTTTTTTTGTGAACAGCAAAAAACACCCGCTGCAGATTTCATTCAAATTCAGGCACGATAAGGAAAATGAGGTTCTTTATATTTGTATATCAGGGAGGATGTGTACGATTACAGCAAATACTTAATGAGCAGTGCAATTACTTTTGTAAGTCAGAAGTAATGACTACATTTAATTAGCAGTGTTTTATATATAAACTGCTTCTGCTGAAAAAAAAATAATACAAATTGTGGTAATAAAGCAATTAGTGCTAATTTGCAAACTGTTATTTTCAGGCGTACTGTTTTTTTTTAACAAGATTTTGGTCAAACTTTGGCACGATTGAGCTCTTGATAAACAAGCAGCGCAGTCATGAGCACAAATTGGACTTCTATTATACCCAAGATTTTAAAGGTTACAAATGATTAGCAATGGAACAAACAACCTAATATTTATTCATTATATTAGAATATTTATTTTAATGAAAGAAGCGCTGAGAAGATAATCACATTCTATGTTGTGAAATTAATACAAAATATGTAAAATTCTTTAGAACTATGAACTAATATTTTTACTTAAATTTATTCGAGAGATTTCAATGCTCGAAATATTGGTATGATTTTTGTGTCTCATAATTTCTTAAGAAATATGAAGAGATGGAAGCTCACTGCGGTGGATAGGATATTTTTGAACTCGGAAGTTTCAGTAAAATTCTTGCTAGTGGTGGTGCCGTTTTGTCGAACAATTCCTTTTTTAAATAAATTGTTTCCAACAATTCAATGTAACAATGTGAAAAAATAAACAACAATTATAATAGAAAATTGGTTCTGCATTTTAATTTGATTTAATTTGTGTACAGTTTTGTGTTTTAATGTAGTCTGATCAATATGTGCAATTGTAAAAAAATTAAATATTAAAATTTTACAATAATTTTTGAATTTATGAGTTGCGAGTTGCATAGATTTCCTGAGAAACATCAAAACTCCATAAATTATGCGGTTTATTTAGTGATATATGTGTGAAATTTTGTTTAAATATTATTGTCATACAATAAAATTATATCACTTTGTTTTTGAGGTGAAACTTTTTAATGCAATCATTTGACGTGTCATAAAATAATTAAATTTTTCTAGTCGAATGCTCTCAGCATGCCACATTTTGCAGGAGGAAACGCATAAAAACGGAAGTGAGAGTCCCATATAGTTGACAAAAGCTTACCAGGAAATGAGCAAAACAACCAATGGTTGCTCGCAATTCTTGTTTCCAGCACTCTGCAAAACGCGACTTTTCCAACACATCCACTGAAATGTGGGAAAATGGTGGCCAGATAGTGGCATATTCACTGTTTTCAGCCTGTTTTCATGTGTGCATCAGGTCAAAAATCGCCTAAGATAACAAAGTTCACAAATAAAATGAGAAAAGTTTTGATAAAAATAATAAAATTATATTCCCTTATTTCTAATTTTGCAGTTTTTAGTAATATTTTTACGACAAAAATCTAAAATTTTAAAACTGGAATCTCTATTTTTGAATAAGTATTATTTTTGCATAATAAATTAAAGTATTTTTCA